AGAAAAAGAATTTGGGTCATCTCAATTAAACATAGAATTTAAGATTACCTTGAAAATTCAGTACAGAGTATTTTGCCTTCAAAATTGTTTTTTTGAGTCTCCCTTCTTTCAGCCAGCCTTCCATCAGAAATAGAATAAAGTTAAACTTCTTAATTGGAATCAGGAATCAGGACTCTTTGGCTGCCGATTGAAGGAAGAACTGTCCTTAAATCCACAGTGGGCCGGGCGTGGTGGCTCATGCCTATAATCCTAGCACTTTGGGAGGCCAAGGCAGGTGGATCACCTGAGGTCAGGAGTTCAAGACCAGCATGACCAACATGGTGAAACCCCATCTCTACTGAAAATACAGAAATTAGCTGGGTGTGGTTGTGTGCGCCTGTAGTCCCAGATACTTGGGAGTCTGAGACAGGAGAATTGCTTGAACCCAGGAGGTGGAGGTTGCGTGAGCCGGCATCTTGCCACTGCACTCTAGCCTGGGCAACAGGGCGAGACACCATCTCAAAAAAAAAAGGTAAATCCAGAGTGGTTGATAGTCAAAATGAAAAGCTAGATTATTTTTGTTAGGCTGGGAAATAAGCACCTCAGTGGCCCAAAAATAAGGCCTGAAATTTCCATTAAAAGAAACTGGGATCTATTCATCTGTTCTGTTGAGATCCCATAGTTCCATACCATAGAAATGGGCACAGAGGGCTTTGAGAGGAGAGTTGTAAGTGTAAGCTCTCTGTTCCTCTGTATACTGAGAATTGTGGGTGTCCACTGAGGCAGTTCATATTTGGCGGATGATTAAGTCCTGATTTCTCAGGGCCAGTGGACTCTGGTGTTACTGATCTTGTGGAAAAGTTAACCCAATGAGAAGATTGTATGCAGAAGTTTTAAATGCACATTGATCATAATTTGAATATGTCACAGTCTTTATTTTTCTTTTCAGCCAATCCTGAGGCAAAAGAAACATTTTAATTCACTGCACATTCCAAAAGCCTTGCAGAAGGCCCTGCCATTTAAGAACAAGCCCAAGACCCAAGCAAAGGCAGGCAAGGTGCCAAAGGACAGGCGGAGACCGGCCGTCATACGCGAGCCTCATGAAAGAAAGGTACTGTCGCCCATGCCATACTGCACACTGCATTTAGATAGGAAAGAATGGTCTCCGCAGCATACTTCCTGTTTCTACTGCAGTCTCAGTTATTCAGGGCACTGGAACTAAAGTCAGAGGAAGAGCCAGAGTCCATTTCCCTTCCTTTGCCTTGTCCTGCTCTGCCCTGTGCTTTTGATGGGGATAACAGACACATGGCTGGGGAACTCCTCTGTCTTGGTTAGCTGCACACAGTGTCCACAGAATGATGAACACAGGTGGTAAAGGTAAAATGCGATCACACCTGTGTCTCCATGCCAACAATGACTTCCCATCGCAGGATGCATTTTCATGCAGGTAGCATTCATTTGGATCGTGGGTTGCCTCTAGTCTTAGTGCTTAGGATGCAAGTGTGTCAGGTGGCTGAGAGCATTCTGATACTCACTGGCTTTTGTCGTTGTCAGATCCTCGCGCTGCTGGATGCTCTGAGTACGGTGCACAGTCAGAAGATGAAGAAGGCCAAGGAGCAGCGGCACCTGCACAATAAGGAGCACTTCAGAGCCAAGCAGAAGGAGGAGGAGGAGAAGCTGAAGCGGCAGAAGGACCTCAGGAAGAAGCTCTTCCGAATTCAGGGGCAGAAGGAAAGAAGAAACCAGAAGTCCAGTTTGAAGGGGGCTGAGGGCCAGTTGCAGTGAGCCTTTGGACTGGAGGGACTGTCCCTGGATCTGCGGAGGTGGATGTTTCAAACATCACAGTTTGAATGCCTGTGAATGACAAGTCAGTGGGCAAGAGCCCAAGAGATGTCTCTACCCAAACTGTGCCTGCAAGAGGAGGAATGGAGAAGCCTGGACTGCTGGGACTGGGTTCGTTCTCACCACCTGGGGCTGTCGAGATTTAAAGTGATGTAAGCTGTGGTTATGTGGATTCTCTTACTTTCCTCTGCCTGCCTCAGTTTAATTATTTTGTCCTACAAAAATATCATTAAAATATTTTTTGTTAGTTTTGGCTTAGTAGTTTTCATTAGGGATGAATGCCTGACAATCCTTTGTGGATAATTATTTATGCTACCACCTTCATGAGGAGCCTTCCAAAATAGAAATATTCACTTGAATCCTCAGCTCCCATGGAAAATTTTAGAGAAGGGTGTGTAGTGTTCTTGTTGTGTTTTTAGTTTGAGTGACACGCAAACCTAGATGGTACAGCCTACTGTGCATCTGGGCTCTATGGGCTCCTTTGATCACTGGCCCTTGTGGACATTTTCTATCTTATTTCATATGTTCTGCACATTAGTATAGTGACAAGGTAACAGTAAGTACCTTTTTAAAGCTTTAGACTTAGGAGATTGTTGTCTCAGGTGTAGAGACCAAGGAAATCGTATGTATCAGTGAGATAGGCTTCCCATATTATGCTCATGCGTTATACCTGCCTAGCTACATTGCCTTTTTTAAAATTAAACATTATATTGATGTAATCATACTATTACTTAGGCGATGTATATATTTTATGATTGTATGTTAATATAGTTATGGGGAATCTAATCTTATACGATGTAATCATAGATTCACATATAGTTGTATATTTTACCCAATTTCTCTCAGTGATAACGTTTCATGCATATCACAATCAGGATGTTGACATCAAAACAGCCCACTGATTTTATTCACATTTCCCCAGCTTTACTTTCCCCAATGTATACTCCTCCATATGTGCATGTGTGTGTAGAAATATGGAACGCGGCTGGGCACAGTGACTCACGCCAGTAATCTCAGCACTTTGGGATGCTAAGGCAGGAGGATCACTTGAGCCCAGGAATTTGAGACCAACTTGGGCAACATGGCAAAAACCTCATCTCTACAAAAAATACAAAAATTCGCCAGGTGTGGTGGTGCACACCTGTGGTTCCAGGAGCTTGGGAGGCTGAGGTAGGAGGATCACTTGAGCTCGGGAGGTCAAGGCTGCGGTGAGCCATGATAGCACCACTGCACTCCAGCCTGGGTGACAGAGCAAGACCCTGTTTCAAAAAAAAAAAAAAAAAAATTTATATATATGTAGAACACTTCATGAATTTGTGTGTCATCTGTGCATGCTGACCTCTGTGTTGTGCCAGTTGTAGTATGTGTGCTGCTGACATGGGTACTGCATTGCCTTTACAGCATCACAGGGGCCAAAGAGGGTCAGCAGGATTGTGAGCAGTTGGCCTAGTCTGAGAGGCTGTCTAAAAGCCGAAAGCTGTCAATAGACAGGTGCTCAGCTTTGTGTCTCCATAAGAAGGGAAGGGGATGTGAGAATCCCATCAGGGCTGGGTCTATCTGGGAAGTGACAGTTGGAACACACCCAGACCAGACCTTTCTGAGCAACTCCGGGTGTAAATTTTCCTCTATTCCTCAAGAGCTATTAGGAATTTCATCATTCAGTATGCTGATAGGCCTGGGGACTGACACATAGTAAGCCCATAACAATTATAATTTAAAACCAATTTGTTATATAGCATAATTGATACATTTTAAAATGCAAAACTGTAATTCAACTAAAATATACAAGGCACTCTAAGTCATACCATGTTTTACATTTAAGTAGCTTACAAGGTGATCAGCAAGTGTCTTATACAACAAGCAAATTTGTTCAAAGAGAAGCCTTGCAAATAAGTATTTATAATTGTATAGTTTTATATTTTAGCCAAAAGAGTGAAATCCTTTAGCAATGGGGGAAATAAAAGAATGTTTAATTACAGTTGCAGATAATTGCCTTTTCCAAAGACAATGTATGTAGGCAGAAGTCATACCTGTTAATATTAAAAATCTTGGTTTATCATATTTGGAGAACAAGGGAAATAAAAAGTTTGTATATCAAGATTATTTAAAACTAAAGTTAAGGAATCTCTAATGTCTGAAAGAAACAATAAATAGCATTTTCCAAGTAGAGTTTTTATTGGTGAAGGTGTCACCTGGCCAGGTTAGTAAATGCATCAGTTTACCAGTCACGCATCAGTTAAAGATGGGGATATATTCTGAGAAATGTATCATCAGGCAATTCTGTTATTGTGTAAACATCATAGAGCAAACCTAGATGGTACAGCCTACTGTGCACCTGGGCTCTATGTTATGGTCTGTTGCTCCTAGCCTACAAACCTGGACAGCATGTGACTGTACTGACTACTGTAGGCAGTTGTAACACCGTGGTAAACATTTATGTATCGAAACATAGAAAAGGCGTAGCAAAAATACAGTCTTGTGGAACCACCACCATATATGTGGTCCGTCCTTGACTGGACGTCATGCAGCATGTGGCTGTATGTATACACACAGTTTTTGCTGTGAGTTTGCATCCATCTCATAGGAAGACATATATCAAAATAAGGACCAGACTGGAGAGTGTGTAAATTATTTTTCAATACTAATGGCTTATTCATTTGATATTGTCAGCAAGTATGTTGCAAAAATAAATTCCACCAGAATGTGAGTTCCCTGAGAGCAGTAACTGGGTTGTTCACCTTGCTGGCACTTGGAGTAGAGCCACTGAGCTTAACACTGCATAAAATTGCTTGGAAGAAAGAAGGGAGGGCATTCCAGGTAACTGAAGCATTGCTATGCAAAGTAAGCATTTGCCCTCTAAAATATTTTAACAATTTTTATAGAAACCGTTCTCAATTGCATTAAACTTTGTAAATTGTAAAAATTATTCTTTGTTATATCTTTCTATCTTTTTACTGTGCACAAGCAGCCATAGGTGCTGGGTATGTTTTGAAAACGTTGAATCTATAGTGTGCATATCATTCCATGCCATTAAATATTCTTATTTAATCATAGATGTGTTCAGGTGTGTTTGGTTTCCTATTCATGGATGTACTAGATTGTTTTTTTTTTTTTTTTAACAAAACCTGTGAACTTGCTTTAAGTATTATCATTTGGTGACATGCTCACCATTTCAGAAATAAATGAGCAAAGAGGAAAGCCATCAGGTCTGATTCAGCTCTCTGGAGGCTTCAGAGCTTACCCCGCTGACGGGAAAAGAGCATCGATTTAATTGCCCTTGGTAGTGACTTCTATTATCTAATATTTTGCCAGACTTAATGTATTTCTTAAAGTCATTATTCAGAATCTTCAGCAAGGAGATTGTATTTTATTTGTTTCTCCTTCGTTTTACCTAGTTTATTTCATGGTTTCAAAGTATTGTACATTTTTGTAATCCTTTAACAAGACAAAAGGTTGAGATGTTGGACATTTAAATGCCAAAGGTGTTTTATTATGAGACTTAGCATTTCATATTTGGGGATGGTACCTTATCATTGAAAATCAGATAAACTTTGGTTGAGTGGGTATTTGGAGGAATCTTTTAAATCTTTTCTTAAGCAAAGTTTGGACATTCTAAAATAAGGTTGCCAACTGGCATGTAGAGAGGGAAGGATGTGTCATACATTTAGACCAGGTGGCCTGTCCTGTTACTTTTTTGGGGGGAGGGGTGGGCTTGATTTTTGTGTGTTTTGGTTTTTTCCAATTTTTGTTTTGTGATAAAATATGCATAATAAAACTTATCATTTTAACAGTTTTTAATTGTATGAATCAGTGGCATTAATTACCTTCACAGTGCTGTTGCAGCCATCTTCAGAGCCCTTCCATCATCCCAAACTGAAACTTTGTACCCATTAAACAATATCTCCTCATTCCCTTCTTCCCCCAGCCCCTGCAACCACCATTCTGTCTCTGAGTGACTACTCTAGATACTTTTGCAAATAGAATCATACAATATTTGTCGTTTTGTGTCTTGTTTATTTCATTTAGCATACTGTCTTCAAGGTGTGTCCAGTTACAGCATGTGTCAGAATTTCCTTCCTTTTTAAGGCTGAATAATATTCCCAGTGAATGTCTTTACTATATGTTGCTTATCCATTCATCTGCTGATGGACGTTTGGGCTGTTGGGAATAATGTTGCTGTGAACATTGGTGTGTAAATATCTGTGAATCTCTACTTTCAGTTCTGTGTGTAAAAGTGGAATTGTTGGGTCAAATGTCATTCTGTGTTTAATTGTGTGAGGAACTGCCACACTGTATCCACAGCTGCTGCACATCTTACATTCCTTCTAGCGGTATGTACAAGGGTTTCAATTTCTTCACAGCCTGAACCACCCTCATTATTCTGTTTTTTTCTTGGTTGCTTGGTTGATAGGTTTCTTAAAAAACTGGTATCCTAGTGTGAAGTTACATCTCGTTGTGATCTGCATGTTGGTAATGACTAGTGACGTTGAGCATCTTTCTGTGTGCTTATTGGCTATCTATAGACCTTCTTTGGAGAAATGCCTATTCAAGTCCTTTGAATCAGGTTTTTTGTTGTTGTTGAATTGTAGAAGTTATTTTTATATTCTGGATATTAAACCTTTATCAGATAAACCACAAACATTTTGTCATTCTTTGGGGTGCCTTTTCACTCTGATAGTGTCCTTTGATATGCAAAGGTTTTTTAATTTTGATGAAGTCCAATTTATTTTTTCTTTTGTTGCCTGTGCTTTTAGTGTCATAGCCAAGAAATTACTAACTTATTGTTTAGTTTTTTAAAAGCATTTATGCGATTATTTGGCTGATACCTGTCTTTAATGATTGACGGCACTTCTTGAGGGTGACTTTTAAACATGCAAATTTGATGTCACTTTCAGAGGCTCCTTCCATGGCTTCCCTTTACTTCTAGGCCGCAGCCCTTGTCTGGCCTCGCAGCTGCTCTGGCCTCTGCCCTCCTCTAGGGCCTCTCTTCTGCTGCCTCCAGCTCTGGCCACAGTGGCCTTTCATTCCATTCCTCGGTGCACTTGCCTGGGGGCCTCAGCACATGCAGTTCCCTCTGCCTGGAATGCGGCAGCTCCTAAGTCCCCCTCCCGGCCTCCACCTCCTCGCTGCTGCTTCTGACGCTGGCCCTGAGACCACTGGTCGGTGCGGCCTTCCCTGGACCCTCTCCGAACTCCCCAGTACTCCTCCACACGTTTCTTCAATAAACCAGTGGCACTCAATTGTGCAGTCCAG